ATATATATATATATATATATATATATATATATATATACAGGGTGTCCGATAACTGATCGAGCAACCGCCGTGTACGGGTTGAAACGTGTCAAAATAATCATAAAAGTTATATACCATTTTGAAATTGTCTCAATATTTATTCCGTAATTAATTAAAATGTATAAACGAATGAGCTTACGAGAAGCGGTAGGACAGGCTCTGTGTAAAAAAAATGGCTTACCTCTTAGCAACGATGAACAGCTGATTTCGAGGCGAAGTAATGTATACGTATCGCTTGTTACTCCACCTCGAAATCAGCTGTTTACTTATCGTTACTAAGAGGTAAGCCATTTCTTTTACACACAGAGCCTGTCCTACCGCTTCTCGTAAGCTCATTCGTTTATACATTTTAATTAATTACGGAATAAATATTGAGACAATTTCAAAATGGTATATAATTTTTATAATTATTTTGACTCGTTTTACCTGTACACGTCGGTTGCTCGATCAGTTACCGGACACCCTGTATATGTAACGTATTAGATCAATATTGAAGCTCGGCATACTGACGATGTAGCAACAATTGATAAAGTCCCATCGTGCTCGCTTGCCAGGCGGTGGCTTAATCAGCACTTTCATGTACTCGATCACCGGTTTCATTCCTCTGAATATCGAAAAGATGTTGAATGGCGGCGGAAGCGTCGTCGTAAGCATGAAATCGACGTAAGCCTGACAAAAGTAGAGAAAACGCTTTTCAATCGAGCTTTTAATGTTGTCATAATTTCAAATTTTTCTCTTCTTTCTTATTGGATACGTAATACGGTACGTTGCTTTAACTTTGAAAGAGATATAATTATTTAAGAGGAACACTGAGACCTCGGTTCGGCCGAAGATCCATTCCACGTTAACGTTGTCGGTCACCCGAGTGAAGGTGTTCGACATACATGCGATCAGCATGTTCAACACGATCACCACGGAGATAAATTGGAAACCTGGAAAATGGAATGATATGAAAATGACAGTAGAAGAGCCAGGCAGAGGTGATTTTATCATCGGTCAAATCTTTCACGAATTCATCGCCAATGGAAAGATGCGCTAACCTGCGAAAGCGAGATAACCGATGAGTTCGGTGAAGCTGTGATGATTGATTATTGTCTCCGATTCTCTTTCACCGGGAAGATTCTCGATCACTACGTCGGCACTTTCTACCGGGCTCATGCAGAAAACTGCCCAGAAGAGGGTCTTCAGAGTGGATTTAAAGCTCACGAAGGAACTCTCCTGCTCGGTCTTCAGTTTCGTCTCGTAGTCGGTCTGCACCATTCCGTCGTAGTATTGATATAGTTTGCAAAGTCCTGGAGAGAAAATTGTATAAATTGTGAATTTTACGTGAAAATTTGCTAAGCTGTGCAGAACAAAGAGGGTAAACGTTCTCTCTGGATCTTGAATCCTGTAGGAAGCGTCTTTTGATCAATTTTTCGCCCAGGAAGTTATTATTGGATTATAATTATAGTTATAATAATTATTATAACTGTTATTGCTATTATTATGATTATATTAGGCCGGAGATATTTTTTGATCTGAAGAAACTTAATATGATTTTCAACACACATGTGACGTGTCTTACCAACTGTGTAAGACGCGATGATGATACCGAATATCGCGAGGAAGTGACCGACGTCTCTGATCATTTTGAACAGAGACAGTTGCAAAGGTCCCAGATCGTAGTCTAATTGACAGATAAACAACAGCTTGAAAAACGCCATGATCGTCGCAAGACAAAGGATCCCTTCCGCTATCAATGTCGGGTCGTACTTGTACCAGTATTTTCTTTCCAAGTCACGCTGACCGTTTATCTTCACGTCCATCGCGGCGACTATCCAGAAGAGGAAAGTCAGAACAAACAGCAGGAGCATAACAAGCTCATACCTGCGTCACACAACGTGAATGACAGAGTTATAAATCTATCAATCAGACTTTTCAAAATTTAATAATTGACTTGAACGTTTCAGTCAGTCAACGTTATAAATAACGTTATAAGTAACGTTGTCGCGAATAGTATGACGATCGATCGCGCAAATCACAATTGTTCATTCTCTCACCAATTTCTACGCGTCTTGAAACACCTGATCGGGCCATCCACGATGCAGAGCCGAATGAGCGCGATTATGTACGACACGACATAGATAATGAGGATCCATTCAAATCCTGAAGAGAAACAAGCTGGTTTGAATTATTGAATTAAATTTCAAGCAGTGAGGAATGAATGAAGTGCGTACCGGTATCGGGCGGTCCGCGAAGCTGCTCCATCTTGTCGCTGTGCGACTGCAGAAACACGAACGTGAGGAATATCATATAATTCGCCACGGAGGAGAGAAACTTGTTCACGGGGATGTCGTAGAACTTGGCTCGCTTCGAGTTCGGTGCGACCAGCACGACGAACGTTATGAATGGCAGCAAGGCGATTTGCGGGATTACCGACAAGCACTTCAGCCACGTGTTGCGAATCTTCCATTCATGCCAAGTGCCGATCCACGTGCTCTCGACCAACTGAAAGGAGAAAGGCACGTGAGCTTGTAACCAGGCACTACAATTTTTGCGGAAATCATTACGGTCTTCGTTCCATTAATTTTGCGAGCGAATAATCCCGTGTCTGATAAGAGAAAGCGCGTAAATCCAAGAGGAAGAGATCTTTTTTCGAGATGCAAAAATATCAATTTTTTTTTTTTGATTGAATTAAGATATATTCATTCAAGTCAATTATTAAACTGAGAAAAACCTGATTGATGTCAAATTATGAAAGTGATTGAACTAAATTTATAATTTAATTTTTGTTCATATCATCTAGTATTTATTTAATTCGTTGTCATATAATACTCATTTAATTTTGAGGGTGCGCATTTATCGTGGTTTACCTGCTGTACGTTCGGATGAGCCACGAAGGTTTTCTGCTCATAATCCAGAGCTAGCAGGAGTCGTGGGTATATGAAGCTGCAGACACGACCGAAACCGACGTTCCGTTTTAAGATACACTCGACCTCGTCGATTTTACGAGCGCATCCGATTAAGTCTGTAGCGAATTGAGACACCTCCTTTATTGCAAAACAGTGAGCCGTATTAGCTACTTATTTTGCCTTAGCAGCGAATTTAAGATTTTGGCACGTCGCGGACATCGTGTGAACACAATGAGTTGTTTTTGTCGCTCATTAGTCGTCGTGTAATCGAATAGACGATTTCATGGATGACGATTGTTGCGCGGTGAATTTCGATAAACAACAAGAACTCACTAACTTTGGACAGCTCCTTATAATTGGGATAAAATTCTTTGTCGAACGTGGCTTCTCTGTTGAGCTCGTCCGATAATTCGAAAGCTCTCAAAATTGGATCTTCCTCAGTTTGACAAATAAACGCTGGGTTCGATACCGCTTTATACATGAACAGTCGCATTCTCTCCATGGTCAGGATATCGCCCTTTTCCCTTTCCGGTCTGTAAAAAAAATGAACATGAATCAATCAATATCTCAAACTACAATTTAATCATCATTGATGATTAAAGGCAGAGTGCTCGACAAATATTCGAAAACTTTGTTGCAATTTTCAATTTTCTTGGCAATTTCTCGAAATCAATGTTTTTCGCTCTTACGAAAATTTGTATAAAAAATAATCCATATAGTAAAAAACATTTTTATGTTAAAACTAATCCTTGTTAATTTTTTCTGTTAATTTTAAATACTCATGTATTGATTTAACATATTGCGTTATCCCAATATTTTGTGAAATTGATATTAATTGACTTGTGTTAATTTCTGACATAATATTTGTGTTATTTTTTAATATATTCACCTTGTGCTAAATTAACACAGATTTGAGAGAATTGTTTTAGATATGTGAAATGTGTTAAATTTAACACAAAATTTTTTTATTGGTTTCTTTTTCTCATATCAAACAAGTGATACCTAATCTTTTTAACATATTTCTGTTTCTTAAAAAAATTTAATAAATATTATAATAAAATAATTAAATGCATCAGAAAAGCTCTCAGATATTTTCTTTAAAAAATATTCCGCGCGCATCGTCGTACTTGCATACTTCTTCGCAGTTACAACTAGGAGGATGAGGTTTTTCGAGGAAGTGACGTCGATATCTGAGCATATCAATCATCTCGAAGTGTCCGCATTGCGCCGCAACGGCGAGGGGAGTTGTATCGTCCGGAAAATCGGGACTGTGAGTGACACCGGCGAATTCGAAGCCGGGAGTCAATTCATTCAGCTTATTCAATATCAATATGGTGATCCGCATTTGGTTATCCCTGATCGCGTGCAGATGTGCATCGCCCGGGTCGACTTCTGGTTGGGACAAGAGATACTCCACCATCGGTATGTTCCTATCGTTGATGGCGATGTGAAGCGCGCTGACACCCTGAAAATGAATAGTCGAATTAGTACGAATAGAAAAGAAGAGTTCGTTAAAAGCGTGAATTGAAGAAGTGAATGTGAACTGCTCGACACGCAGCTAACTTTTGTCACGACTGGAAAATCGAGCTAAGAGATTTCAAATAGCGAGGAACAAGTCCTCAGAGGCTATAAACGGTCTTATTGCTTCGTTCTCAAGCGAATTTAAAGTACGGAAGAAGATTCTCGCATTAGAAAAACATAAAATTGGCACGTTACATAAGAGTTGAGAATTACATGAACTAGTTTGATGAAAATGTATCTAGTTTGCGCAGACTTCGCCCTAAAATTACACTTTAGAGAGAATATTAATGTATTCTTATTAGTTCTAAAAATATTGTGTAGGAAATCGACAAGAACTTGATAGAATTTTATTCAGCAAACGACGAAAAACATGAAAAAATATATATTATGCATCAAAAATTTTCTGCGTCATGACTCTTATAAAAGTTTTTAATTAGAAAACAGACATAAAGAAGTGAAATACTACTATGAAGTTTTGTCAACAAAACTGTCCAGTAACTGCCCGAAAACTTCATTAAATATTTATCAGAGTACACACATAATATTAATACGCGCTGCATCTTTAATTAGCGGGGGGCTGAAGAATTTTTACTGCGAACTCTGAAGGCACTTGCCGATCGTAAGATTCTAAATTCATATTTAGATTTTTGCGATAGCGCGATACGTGCGCTCCTCGAGGGAGACGTGGACAATCTTGGGTTATGTAACACAGGTTTCCGGGCGCGTTCTTGTCGTGCCATCCCTCTCACGTTTACGCACGATTAGCGAAGACAAAACGAGGAGATGGCGATTCGGTCGGGAAGATATCGCGTTTGTCGAACTGAAAAATCCTTAGACTTCTCCGGAATGCTCTCTTTGCCCGTTGCGAGATGGGACCATAGGTTTCATCATCCCAGTCCTCCTGCTCTTTCGAGGAAGTGAGAAAGTAACAGAGATAGAGAGAGAAATCGACTTTTTGGAGCGCTATCGGCTCCCTTTTTTTCGGTTGTGTCCCTCTTTATAGGAAGAATGGGACGACGACGTTTGTCGCCCATCTGCGGCGCGTTTACAGAGGCGGACCCCGACAATGGACCGGCACCATTGTTGCCGTCGGCACTAGTCACAATATTCCGTGATATCCTGGCTTTTCGACTGGACCCCCGGAGCATTCGTGTACATCCACACGCCGCGCACGACAATAACACCTCGTGATATATGTTCGGTAAAAAGCTCTTCTCCCCCTCTTCCTCCTTCTCTGTCCGTCCTCTTCTCTTTTCCTCTCTCTCTCACTCCCTCTCTCGACGGAGTCCCTTGACAATCGGCAGCTGCCACCCTTAACGTCTCGCATGACTCGCTCTGATTTTCCGCTCGAACAGACTTCTATTTGTCGCCCGTGAATTCCTTCTCTTTTTCTCTCATGTTTCTTTTTTTGCGGTTGCGAAATAACAACGCGAGTGCTGACTCGACGCTTTCGTCGCTGACACCTCCGCGCACATGAAGGGGAAAGTGTTACCCTGATCTCTCGTATAAAAATTACAACATCGGCATCGAGAGTCTCTTATTGCGGCTTCGAATTTCTTCGGGATCTATCGAATGTGGGATCTTCGAGAAATTTAATTAGCGACGGGAACAAGCAGCGGATTGAAGCATAAGGTGTTTAATGAATGAGCAACGCGAGGATGCGTCATCATCGGCGGCAGGTCGCATCTGAGCATGGTGCACTGTAGAGGAGCTCACGCGACGGCGAGTGCATTCCCGTATGGAATTTACAGCGGGCCAGGTCATTTGAATAATTTTTATCGGACCTCGGCTGAAACCATTGTCTTGTAAAAAGACGGTCTGAAATATGGCCAGAGATACACGGAGGCAAGCAGCAGCTTCTTCTTGTTCTTTCTCTCTCTCTCTATGTCCCTCTCTTCAGCCGCTTCCTCCTTCGCTCCTCTTTTCTCTCTCTCTCCCCCTCCCCTTCTCTTTCTCTTCTTTTTCTATCTACTTGTGCGCGCCGCATCGGCATTTCGGTCTCAAAGTCAAACGAGGGTTTGGCTGCTTTTCGGGAACCCCGAAAGAGAAGAGGATGCCGCGAGCGAAGTGGACGGTTACGACCACGGGAGAGCCGGCCGAGTGAGTGCAAGAGGTGGAGGGAGTGGGACATTCCACGGGGGGTACGTGTTCCAGCACACGGGGTGAAGATCTCAGATAACTGGACTTTGCCCTCATTCTCTCTCCGGCTCCTTTTTCCCTCTGTGCTGGTTCCGTTCCACCGTTTTTTATGTGGAATAAATCGCGCGCGCGAGTTATTATTGGGACACATTAAAATATTTCTTAATTCGTATCAGAGGACATACTAGCACTTTACACGTCAGGAATTATGCAACGTCGCTTGACAACTTATACAGCTTGGAGCGAAGGAGGAACCCTAGTAGTAGTTCATTGGGATTATTGGCTATAAATTGGGTATCCAATGTATCCAATATTGGCTCAGTATTGCAAAGTAGACGCCTTGCATTTTATAGCCAATATAGAATTCTGAATATTAGCAATTCATTTGTTACCAATATTGGCTACATATTAGCCCAATGTGCTCTCAATGTATGCCAATATTAGTACAAACATGTTGTGCAATATTGGCAATTTATTCACATTTTATTTATAGCCAATATTGGTTATATATTGGCTATATTGGCTTAATGTATATAATATATAGTAATTCCGGCCGTAATTCTGTATGATCCAAAATTACAAGAATTCTTTTTATAATTTTTACTATGCAATATTTCTTTCCGTGTATTACTCGTCTCTCTCTATGTATATGTGTGTTTGTGTACTCTAATCTATCTTCTACGACTCCCTTCGCCGAGAACACCTAAGAACACAGTGCGAGCCTAAGAATAGCGTGACGTCTCTCACATAAATCATCGGCCGCGATCTTAAAGGAAGGGTTGACAAAAGTTGTGACGCGAACATCGAGAAGGTGGAAGCGTATCTGCTTTCGAACCCACTGCTGTGCTGCTGTTGCTGCCGTTACCGCTGCCTCTGCTCACTCTCTTTCCTCGTGATTTCGGTGAATCCACGTAAGTGGCGGTGCCGGGCTCTTACGGTTAAATCACGGGAGAACCGGCGCGATGGGAGATAAATTCGGGAATCTTTACGAGCTGTTTAAGGGTCCACTTTAAAGCGCACCGTTCGCGCGACTGCGAGTCGTCCGATGAATCAGATAGGAAACAGACGAATCCACCGGATGCGGTGACGTACGGAAAACGCATTCCATCGCGGTGTAATTTAGCGTTTCTGGATCGCTAATGGCGCGTGTCATTGCCGTCGGCGTGGCCGCGATCACTCCACGTGAAATTATAAATCGTAAAGTAAATTTATGCGCCCCAACCAGCGCTCGTCGTCGCCGTCGCCAACGTTGGAAGTGCCGCAATTAATTCGATATTAATTACGGGCTGTGAAATGAGTCTCTTCGTCTCGCAAGCGAGCAATTTTTCTCTCTTTCACTTCCCTTCTTTGTTCCCACTCGGATACTCGGTAAACCGTACTTTTTTCCCTTTAATATTATAAATATTTCACGTCACGTTTCCTCTGCGCGACAGGTCTTACGAGTTTACGTACTTACTTGGAAATTTATGATGTTAATATTGAAATCCGGATGCTCGTCCAAGAATAGTCGCACTTCGGCGACATTTCCGTCGGCAACGACCTCGAAGAATCTCTTCTCGAGATCCTGCAATTGCGGAAACGTCACGCTGGGACGCTGCAATGAGAATAACCTTTTAGTGTACCTCGAGATAGTGCGTCAGATATCATATTGTCATATTTCATATTTTATGAAAAGAGCGGTAAAAGCAGTTGCTCCTCATGCAGGATGCGATTCTGCCGATTTGTTCCTTCTGGGAGAACCTACGTTTTCGAGTTCATCCTCTGCCCCAGCTATCGTTTCGTTATCCGCCATCGCGAATGACACCTTGATTGCAAACGATCGTCTCCGTGAGCGTTAAACAAGACGAGTTTTGCCTCTGGAATCAGGCATCTTGGCGAATCGAGGCATTTAGACGTGCGATCTCTCGGAACGGTCTTGAGGAAACGAGATATTTTTCACGTTAAATCTATTTTGTTTCGATCTATTGGCGCGGCACTGAGATGAAGTTGCCTCCGTGAAAGTTCCGATTTAAATGGCTCTTAGAACTTTCCCGAGACAGAGATAATCTTATAATCTTTTCTTTATACAACAGCAGATTTCGCTCTTACTTTGAAGTTCTCAATTTGCTAATTCCAATTTTAATTCCTTGCAAAAGCAGAAATAATCTCATTTTTTTTTGTGCAGATGTCGTCTTTGCTTAACTTGTCCTCAGCTCGTCAATTTTAATTAATTTATCTAAGTAAGTGGCGTCCGTTGTGCAGGGCGGAAAAATAAGACGCGATGATCTTTGTTTTCACATTTAATCATGTAATTTAATCTTCGGGCGAAGGGTAAATATATACATAATTTATAATTTGTTTGTGCGTCCTACATACAAATAATATAATAATAATAATTGAAATAATATATAATTACTATAATATAAAATAATATTATAATAATATAATAATATATATTTTGAGGATAACTTAGGTGTCAGTGAAATACTCCTTACGTAATTCGAATAATCAATCTGTGTCGCGCCGAGATTGTAAGCGACCGTTGTCAGAAACGTGACACAATGACAGTGACGCGAGATGATTTGACATTATACTATACAGCGAAAAGATACCCGACAGTTACTGTCACGACCAATAATGACAGCCGAGTATCCGTGAGGTCGGTTCGTTTCGGCTGCACTTCCTGCATCTCGATTTTTCCATCTTTCCCTCTCTCGATATTCAAGAACTCAAAGACCCGAACATGCGCTCATTTCATTGTGTATGCAAGAAAGAGCAACTAAACGGAATAGACTTTGATAGTTTTATATGTGTAACGTTAAATACATACATATACGATGGATACAAAAAGTGTGTTAATGGACGAAGAAAACGCAGCGGGGGTTACGTACACTTCCCTTGTCGTTTAACCCGACAGACGACGAGGGTAAAGAATCGAGAAAAAGTGGACTATATACAAGAATTTTCGTTTCGTAAAAGCGCGTTGAGTATCTGAAATTTATCGGGACGACATCAAGAAAATACGTAATAGCTTCATTCACGATATGAGTGTATAACTATGAGGAAAAGCATTAATTTGATCTCGCGTTGCATTCGTATCCTCAAAATATCAATTGCGCCTATTAATCCTTAGATTCCTAAATGAGGAGGTTTCGTGGACCTCGTTGAGCAGAAATTTCCAATGTTCTGGCCGCATATTTTTCAATTTTTAATAACTCTTTCTCTGCTTCACTGTACTTCATACAGCTAAATTTCGATACGATTATACGGGACGTTGAAAGAAAGCGTTCAAGACTCATAGAATAGATACTACTTACCAAAGTGAGTAAAAAGTATTTAATGAACATGAGTCGAAAAATTAATCTTCTCGTTGGAAGCGACTTTCAATTTTGATAATGAACATAACTTGCTCGCTTATATTGTATTATTATATACAAAGGATTATCTCATATCACTGAACAAATTTGTAATTCACAGTGCATGTGACAATGGGTGCGATCCATTGGACGTTACAAATGCTTTAAAGCGCTGTATGGACCAATCATGATTTTCGTTTAAGCGCTTCAAATCGTTTACAACGTCTAATGGATCGCATCCATTATTATATTATATGCGCTGTGAAAGGTTATATAGTAACTTGTGAAAGGTTATATAAAACCAATCAAATATAAGCAACTTAAATCATGTATCGATAATTTTGTTTGTACACTTTTTGTCAAACGAAGTTGCAATGCTTCAAGTTGTCAGAACGTCATTACTAACATAAATGCGCTGCAATCGGTTATGACGAGAACCGAAGTATAGAGTGTGCCATTTGTGAAATTATCATTAAAGTAAAAAATCATTTTTAACTCTGGAAGACTTGATTTTTCGATATATGTTCACTAAGTAATTTTTCCTCAGTTTAAAATTGTCTATAAGTCTTGAATCGTCCTTTTTTCTCTCTTTCTCTCTCTTTCTCTCTTGTAAACACTCTTTATATTATTTATATTAAGGATTTTTGGGAAACTGACTTACAGTAGTTCGCAAATCTCATAGACTCACAAAAAAATGTAACGTGTGTTCGATTAATCTTAAAATTTAGAAAATTAATCGTAAAAATTTCTTTTACGTAATCTGAGCAGTGGATGTTTAAAGTAGAAAAATGTTTTTGTTGCGTGCACAGTTTGCGTAATTTAAAGACGACAGTGACTACATTTTGATAATAAAGAATCGGTATTAATATTACATTATTATAAAATATTACTCAATGTATTTTTCAGAACACAACGCGATCTCTTCAGACACTTTGGGCATGGATGCATCGGACGAAGCGAGTTTTGCGAGCGCTTTTGTAAGAAACGAGAAGAAAGAGACGTTTATATTGTACACTACAGTACACATGACGAGAGAAAAGTTCTGATTCTCTCTGAAAAGCTCCGCTGTCACCATCTATCGCTTCTCCGTCGTCTTACGAATCTACTATACTACACGTCACTCGGTGAACACGAATGGGTCACTGGCCAACTGATGTCTCTCGTCTGCGACGACGTTTCTTTTCCACGTGTTCGGTTCCACGTCTTCCGCGATATAGATACCCATCGTTTTCGACAACACGCGCGCAACCACTGGACTCACGACGCAACATAACAGAGAGAAATTGATGAGAGCTTCCACAAGTTGTTCCGGCGGTTATTAAGCACTAAAGTCTCGACGCTCCGGCGTCAGGCAGAAAGAAGTTCTCGGCACGCGAACATTCGAGCTTGTGTCTTTGAGGATCCATTCGGCACTTCGTCACGACACTCGTTCGCTGTTCTTGCCTCGCCTTACCTCACCAATCGCGAGGTTTCAGTCATACAACATCTTCGACGGTAGCACATAGCTGGAGAGTGAATAGAGTAACGACGCGTACCAATGGACGCCGTCCTTCGTCGGGATCGTCGTCGAGGTTGTGGTTTGGTTCGACGACACCTCGATCTCGGCGTGTTGCCTTACTTCGGGATATCGTGGAGCCTCAGTTGGCCTCTGCACGAAAAGGGACACCATTCTATGCCAGATCCTTAGAGGCAGGAAGGCGTAATGCGCCACTGACTGGCTGTCGACCACGGCGTAGCAAGACGCCACGACGTCGTTCACCAGCAGGGTGCCTTCCGTCGTCAGCGGTGCGAACACACCATCCTCGAGGACCAGCTTCGCCTCCACCACGCTGTCCCATCGCAGATCGTTCTTCACTTGGTCTTCCACCTGGTTGTCTATCGTGCTCGTCGTGGCGCCACTCACGAGGATCCTGTCGCCTGGTTGTACTTTGGCGGCGAACACGGACGCTCGACCCTCCACTGGTACCAAGTGGGCTGGTGTTAGCGTGAGCATTCGGCCGGACTCGGTTGTCAGGCGAATGAATTGCCTCCTCTCGGACGGCGAACGGTCTAGGAAGGCGATCACCTCGCTGTACACGACGTTCCCGTAGGAGTCCAACGCGGCGATACGTTCACCGAGCTGCACCTCCTCCAGCCTCTTCGTACCGCCGTTCTCCGTTCTGACCAGACTCTTGCCGGGGAAGCAACCGCCAGACTTGCCCGCTGAAGACGAGTCTGAAAGCAGAGGATGGAAGAAGTGAGAAAGCGGCTCCTCAGCGGCTGATGGTAAGGTAAATGTTTATCACGTTTTGCAGAAGAATTAACCAAATTTTTCGTGTAATATGAATTAACTCCCCAGAAAATCCCGGTTGTTATCCTGGAAGTTACGAAAATTTCTGATTCGTTCATATTTCATCAGAAATTAATTCGTGGGATATAAAGTTTATTAATAGAAATAAATTTTATATTCCACAAATAGATTTTCAAGTATTCTCAGGATCCTATATTTTTTCATGCATACTTCTTCACTGTTCCAAATATGAACCGAAATAACCTTAAAATTACACGCGACAAATATAATAATAGAAGAGCAAGTAACAAAACTTTGAAATGAAAATATTCTTATCATATTTTGGAATTATGATATTCTTGTCATATTTTGGAACATTTCCTCAACTATGAAGTTTAGTGTCGAAATAATGCATATGAAATATACTATTGTTTTGCGCGCACGTAAATTAAAAATAACATTTCCAAGTTTTGCTTTCGTTTCTTTTCCGTATTTGACGCGATTCGTTTTCTCCACCTTCGATAGCATGTAATGCAGAGTGGCAGACGCAGGTATTGACACTTCGGAGGCGCGCTCGCTTCAGCATCGATCGCTTAAGCCGATTAACGCAATCGCGGTGAAAATTGCCGGAGTATTGAAATCACGACACGCGTGGATCGCATTCGCTGGCGCTTTTTGTCGCGTCCTGGTACCCCCTGTCGTTCCATTGTTCGCCCTTTGTCTGAGCATTGACTCGTATCGATTTCGCGCCGATTTTTATGCTCGGTTTTAATTCGGCCCGACAGGCACGGCTCGATTTATTGGCATTTATTTTGAAACTTGAGACCCGACCGTAGCCTGGAACGAACACAGGCCGCTTGAAGTGCAGGTGAATACACGTCTGATCACACGGGAGGATACTGAAGCGAGAAGCGCGCCGATCGATAGGTGCGAGTTCCTCATGGTTTGAGTCTTTTCCACTTTGCATAACATATCGTGTCCTTGCTGCAAGAACGACACAAATAAGAAAACTGTAATTTTGCTCTTTATCATACAAACGTAAGAACATACATGGCAAGAATTTTATAGTAAAAATTACCATTGAACTTTGTAATCGAAAAAACGAGAAATACAATATAGAACACTCTTTTTTTCTCTCATCACGTAATCAGACGACTTATATTTTTATTTCTCGAAGCACTCACTTCTGTGTCAATCAAAATTGGATTAATTGGATTCACGCAATCTTTTCGCGCTCAATACTTCAGTCTGCTCGATGCTGCTCTCTGCGCGTTACCATCGCGTGATCTACTATCTATGAGGGTCGGTAAAATAGGCATTCGCGAAATGCAATTCGCCAGGAAGCGACGGCAATGTTCGCGAGGCAAATAGACGACCACGTCTGTTCAGTTGTGATGATCGATGTAATTACGCGAGCGCGAAACGTAATGCGACAGATCCGATGTTAACAGCATCCGGCGCTCTAACAACGCGCGTAAAATTCATATTAGCGATGTTCGAATCACTTGGAGCCGCTGATAAATCACAATCCGACCAGATTACGCGACATTAAATGATTTTAACGTCGCTGTCGCCATAGATGACACGCGCTCCCGTGTTAAGTCACTCTGTCACTCGTAACCGAGAACAGCGTGAGACTTTAGTATCCTTGTTCCATTAAACGACGTACTGCACCGACTGCAGCATCTTTATTGCATTAAACGACATCGTTACAGCTACCGCTCGGTAGTTTATACGCTCTTTATTGGCGCGCGTTGTAATCGGGCTTTATGCGGGTATTAACGAGAAATGAACGCGCGGCGCAATTAAAATCTACATACAGCTCGCGAATTGACTGTCGACTTCTGACAGTCGTTTAACAGCGGCTTCCCAGGGACGCTTCGGGAGAGACTCAATTCGACCGTACGTTATTCTACATTTATCTGTTAAATTCAGTATTCATTCGGTAAATTCAGCCGCGCTCTCGCGCGTTCTTTTAGAGGCGCGTCGTTCGCGTACGAGCGTGAATGACGGAAGTTACTAACCGGATTTAACGGAGCAGTGAATGTGCGACCTGGACTCGTAGTAGACCCAGTCGAAACCAGCTTCAACCGCGAGCCTCGCCAGCATTCCGTACTTTGAGCGGTCCCGATCGCTCGTCGTCACGTCGACAGCTCGTCCTTCGTAGTGTAGCGAATCCTGCGCGTGCTTACCCTCTTCGTCCCAGCCCTCGGTTACCCTCAGCTTCACCCCCGGCCACTGGTTCATTACCGAGAGCGCGAGGCTGTTCAGCTTCTCCTTGCATCTCTGTAACATCATATATATCATACATTTTAGACCATTAGATGGCTAACAATATGATATAGTAGATGGACAGTGGTATAAATATATAAATTAAATATGAATTAAATATACGATTAAAGTGAATATTAAAAATTAAAAATATGTGGGCAACACGTTTTTAATAAGCTGCAATGGCAGAAGACGTTTTTATCTCGGATTGTCCAAACTTACGAAATTTTGTTTGCAGCCAATATATATATTTTAAAATCTCCAATATGTTAGATTAGATGACTTTTATTTTGATATTGAAATCTCACATTTACTCTCATATTCTCTCTCGGTTAATCTTCATAATTATTTCCAAGATAGATACATGAGCGAATTTAGAATTAAATTTAACTCTCCTTGGCATTGGGTGAAGGGCATCACCACCCTATTTCCCGGAAAGTTCCGCGTAATGCGATTTTCTCCCATGTCTGAAAACACCGCGTGAAGAGGGGTTTGACGCGGGGAATTCAGTCAACGATTTCACGCGGATGCGCGCGGAAAAAAAGGGTTCCACCTCGTGACCGGTGGCGTCAGGTAGTGCGCAAGTAAAACCACTGTGAGGAAAATGAATGCGAGTTTCGAACGGTCACGAAGTCGGGCCCAGGAGACTTTAAATGGGCCTAGTGTGTGGCGAATTAGCGGGCAAACAGGAGTATAAATACAGCCGATGTCGAGGATCGCGTTCGGTCACGCCGATTCTCTATCTGCTCTCCTCTTGTCCGGCTGAAGTCAATTTTCTCTTTCTCGTTGTTTACCTGCACCGACATTGACGATGGTAGTTGGCTGAATCAGCCGGTCGGGAGTGAATCAATAATATTCTCTTCTCAAGCAAGGAAATCTTGCTAATCCACGAATCTTTGTTTTGACGGAACTTTGCATATTTGTAAGTAGTGTAAGTAAACGAATTTAGAAATTTTCATTTGGACAAATAGTTTTGAGATATGTAATCTAAATAATAATATATGTGGAGAAAAATCGAAAGACGTATGAGGAATGGTGTTGTCTTTTAAAGCCGTCATTTGGGTACCTCAGTCGAAATATTTATCCTACTTTCGATTCCACTTAACATCTACTTTGATATCCTTCATAATATACAGATCTTAGGAAGTTCAGGATGAAAGTAGGATTTCTAAAATTTCAACTCGGGTATCGAATATTTCTAGACTCATCAGACAGAAGTTCACTCTCATCTGTGTATCTTACCTACACATATGCAAAGTTCCAATAAAATCAGAATTTCCGGGTTCGCGAAGGTTCCTTGTCAGCCAAGTGGGGTCCGACTGCTTGGGCCCGTGTAACCTGGGCCTTAATCCGGAACGCGGCGTATCGAGGGCGCGAGAAGGCAAACGCAAGGGAGCGCTCCATTGAGCGAGGCCGCGGCATTGTCGAAGGCATTCGAAGCGTCCGGGGTCCGTGTTCAAATCGATTCCCGAACAAGGAGGGCAATCGCCCACGCAGGGCCGTATCGCTCGGGTGACCGGCCGCACTCTTTCGGCGCGAATCGCGCCTGGTCGATCAGTTGGCCCCTTTCTGTTCCTTTTATTCCCGGTCAAACGCGCGGAAGAGGGTAATTTTCGAGACGGGTCCACTCGAGTTTTGCGAAAGGGAGAAGCCGCCGACATCGTTGTTGCTCGTCGATCGCGAAGGAGCACGTTACCGACATCAGTTAGCCAATACCGGCAAATTGCCACTGCGAAATTCGGAATACTTGGGGTCTCTGTGCTGTCTCACCCCTTTCCTCGTTCTCGCGGGCTCTCCTCAATGGCGCGCAACCGACTGTCGGAGCGGCACGAAGCGGGCTGCACGGTTCGCGGCTACAATAAGACCCGCTGGACGCTAAGCGGCAACGAAACGGGGGCTAACAATGTCCACGAATTTGCAGCTCTCCTTGCGGCAATTAGACCCTATTGACTGCAGACGACGGCCCTCGGGGGACCGGTCCCATCTCCCCCTCCTTCTCGTCTTTCTCCTTCTCCTCCTTCACCTCGTCGTCGACGTCGTTTGCTTCTTCTTCTTCCTCCTCGTGTCCTTTTTATCTCGACTTGTTCGCGCGCCGTCCCGGTCATCCTCGCCGGTGAAAACCTTCGCCGGCCACGTGCACGCGATTGCCACAAGCGAGAATCGCACGCCCATCCGCTGTCGGATGAATTTCCATTAAGGTCCCCGCGGCGTTGAACCGGGACCGTTCTGAATGAATCTCCTGCGCGAACGGGCCATAACCGAGAGGGCCAAGTCGAAACGTAGATCCAGGTCTCAATAGGCGGCCTTAATTCCCTCGTGCGCGATATATTTCGTGAAATTTATAGCCGCCGCTGCTGGTTCCTGGTCACCGCAACATGACTGGCTGTCGGTCGCCGCTTCCGGTCGCGTGAAAGCGGATAATCGCCGCCGCCACGTTTAGGAGAAGAAGGCGGAGCTGAAGTCTAAGAATCGTTCTCTAGAGATTGGAACAAGGTACTTGGACTGTCGGCTCATTTTTTTGTTATATCACTCTGAGATGTCATTAAAATGAGCGATCTTCTTATGCAATCTGATCGACATAAATCATTACTCATGGATTTTCTTGATTGTCAACGAAGAGACTCAATTATCTAGATCGCATCGAAATCGTGAAGAGCATGCGTGTTCTTCACAGGAGGAGGAGAACTCTTGACCGATCGTCGAAATTTTCCCATACGCCTTCAGCTTTCGGGCGTAGCGTTTGCGAGGCCGCGCGCGATGCATGATGAGAACCGAGGTAATAGAGGATGAGAATGACGATGGAGTCAAGGAGGAGAGAAAGAGGAGGCGGAAGGCGCAGGAGGGGGAGGTATAAAAGCCCCGAAGGAGTCTCATATAAAGAGAGGGAAGAATGGTGAAGGGCCTGAGAGATATATCGGCCGTAGTGCGCTATGGGGAGCCTTGTTCGCACAGCGGGGTACCCCCTGGGCCCCTCCCAGACTTTACATCTATTTACAAACATTTTGGCGGACTTGAAGAGATAGAAGGTATGAAGGAATGAGAGAAAGAGTGCGCGCGCGCGCGCGCGCGCGGTTAGCCAAAGCCGAGAATGTCGGGTCTTATGAAAATCCATTTCGGGTGAAAAATGGCCCGGTCCGTAATGCATTAGGGATAAGGAGGGAGGCACGGGCGCGAGAGAGGGTGATTACGCTTGAATCGAGTATCCACGGCAGAAATCGAAGGAAGTAAAGAGTACCAGAGAGAGTTCGTACATACGCGTGAAACGCATTGAAAACAAAACGCGACCTTTCTTGTATGGAAACGCGAAAGGGAAGCCGCGGTTTCAGCTTGGGGAGCAAACGGCTTTAGTGGAATTGCATTGATCCCGTTCCGTGAGAAGTAAAATTGAAAATTTTTCGATAATCGTTCGAGCTCGCAACATTTTCGCTCGAAACATCGTTCAGTCGTCCACAGCCACCAGTTTCTGATCTAATCAATTTTCGATCTAATCGAAAATGGGAATACTAGCAGAGACAGTCTAAATTTTCTGTCATTTTTAAGATATCTTTTAGTTGAAACTTTGTCCGGTTTTCGACTTCAATATTCCATTTGTCTACTTGCCTACTTTGGTATTCTGAAGTCTGTCAATCTCTTTTGATTCCATTTAACCTACTAGCTTTGTCGAGAGAACCTACAAGTGACATTTTGTGTTTTCTGCCATTTAGAGCCGGTTTTTCAATAGCAGTTTAAACTTGGATTCAAGTTTAAACAATGCGTTTGTTTTGTTTAAACAGAGTTTAAGTTGAAATTTAAGTTTAAACTATCATTGAAAAACCGGCGCTAAGTAGAACTTCAGTTTTCATGTGTTTTAAACATACACTGATTCTTCAGGGTATCAGACATTAAAAAGTTTAGACCCAAAGTAGGGTTAAAATGTTTTCGTGCGTTTTAAACATACACTGATTCTTCAGACGTTCTTCATATCAGACGTTAAAAAAGTTCCGGCCCAAAGTAGGGTTAAAATGTCGACACGGGTATATTCCAAGGTATTTTTTTCACATAAAAAGTCCGACGTTATTCAAAGATTTCTCTTGTCTGGCTAGACACGTCTGCATCTCCTTGGTTGATTGTGCACCGCGTAAATTTCGCCGCTCGACGAATCTTTGTATTAGGATTAGTTCTGTCATGATGAGGGATATAAAATCAATGCCGTAATAAAATTGCCGAGTGTATATCGCGATACGTCACCCGAGAAACGGACAGCCAGTAGCTGAGAAACCAGTCGTGGCGAATGATGGGTCGCGTTAGTGCGACGCAAGACGCCGTATCCTGTGTTATTTTATCCCGCGTTATTTTACCTCTCCTTCGTCATTCGGCTCGATAGCCACTAATTACGGTGCGCGCTTGTCGCTTACACCTCGTTTACATATTTCGTATCTTATCGCACGAACGCCCCGGCGAGGCCGTGTTAACTCTTGCGCGCGTTCGCGACTTCGCTCGCGTGCGTCCACCGGCGCGGTGTATAATCAACGTAGCGACATTAAAGCGGGCGATATTAATTTTCCGCGTTCGCCGCGGTACTAATTGCCCTTGCGCTGCCTGTTACGGCTCGTTAAATCGCGGATAACGTCCACGAAATTGTCGAGCCATCGCCGGAGAACAAAGGAGCGGGACGCCGAGACAAACGACGTCGGAGTGTTGCCGAACAGTCGGAGACGCCGAGGGTGAGGAGGTCAAGGAGGAGGAAGAGAAGGAGAGAGCAAAGGAGAAGGACGACAACGACGACCACGAGAAAGTGGGGGAGGACGTGGAGGAGGTGAAGAAGAAGGAGAGACAGTGGAGCAGGAGGAGAAGAAAGAAGATGAAGAGAAGAAGCACGTTGAAGTAGAAGAAACGGCGGGAGCAGCAGAGAAGCCGAAGATGGGCCACGTATTGCCTCGAAAGGGGGTTGGGTCCGAGATGAAGGAAGATGGTGAAGGAGGACTGGGCTCCATACCAGCATCCGCAGACGGGGCCCCGCCCCCGCCGGTTTCTCC